TAAATTTCAATCAATAAGTACTACACATTAGTACTAAGGCGCCAGTAGTTAGAACGAGTCTTGCTCGATTGATCTAATCTAATCTTGGAGGCCCTAAACAAACCAGAAGAATATATTATCATCAGTGGTTACTTCGGTGCATACATATGGTAATTCCATATGGGCTGATACTCTCTAAAATCAGAAATCAAGGAGAATGGCATGCCAATAACAGCATTGATGATCTTCGGGCATATGTCTAATTAAATATTTCAAATTAACGCGTGAACAGAAAAAAATATGAGCACATAATACAAATAATAAATGACTGAATTGGGAAGTTTTTCTTTCTGAATGCACCAGGAGGGATTGGAAAAAATTGCTCGTGATTTACTGGGAAAATTTACATTTGGTGGCTTTTATTCTAGAATCTTATAAGAGTGAAACTGTGCTACGTCTGAATTAATAAATCGTGTTATAGGGAATCAGTGTTATAAAATACTGTGTTATGCCGAGGTTACGCATACGTATATTTATATATATATATCATTAATAATAATAACGGTTTTAAATTTGTACTGTTTCCCTATGCTATTAAAGTATATGGGCAGACCAAAGTGAAAACTTGAATTTTAATTTGATGTAATTGGTAGGTAAAGTCATTTCCTAACTGTTAGTAAAATTATGTTTATTATATAGTCTTAACTCAAAAGACTTTGCTTAGTTACCACGACACATATTTCCCGGTTATTATTGTAATTTTGCAACATCGAAAAGAGAAATGAATGAATCATAGAAATATATCCTGCCACAAAGTAAGAAAATGTCTAAAACCTAATAATGCTATTAAATCTAGTATTTAAAGTTATTCAAAGTTACATATAAGATGATAGACAACGTTGTGGAAGCAAATAAAGTAGTCAATTATTTAACGGGATTTCTAAGCCAACCCGATCTGCCAGAGTTTCCTCGGAAGTAAGCTAAATTATGGGTTCGGAAACAATGATTTTTTGAAAGATGAACCATTTTTTCGAGTACCCAAAATCCCGTCTAATACATAATTTTTTTAAAAGATTTCAATTGCCAGTTTGTTTAGTGTTTGCAATTACAATCAATTTTAGATTTTTATGAGGATTGCCTTTCACACGGGCAACTGCATGTCCGATCGATAGATTTTATATCTACGTAAGCAGTAAACAAATTTATAATTTGTGTATCCGAAAAATTTAACAAGTATTGCAAAATTATGCTTATATGAAATTGATTCTTTGTTCTATTTCTCACTATGGAAAATAATTACCAGCTAAATAATTGTTGATCAATTCGAAAAACACCAAAGTCAAAACAATAGAATACATTTTTCTCTTCTACCCCATAATAAGACTTAGTAAAAAGAAACAGCCATCGGTCAAAGTGATACAGGGTCTTATTTTTGAAAGGATTTTTATGAAATAATAGCTAAATTTTCCAATGTAAAATACAGTATTTGCAGTGCATTTTTTATATTACAGTAATTTTAAAAAATAACATTGATCTGATAGTTTACAAAAAATATTCATCAGCCGATTTGGAATAACTATTAATTTATTTTGTTTTTTGTAAAATGCTTTCCTCAATTTAATTTACTTTTTTATTCGCTATTTTTTATTATTTACACCTTTGCTAGGGTAAAGGTTTAGTTGGTCCTTTTCACCCCACCGATATGTGGGGTATAATAGAGGTTAAATAAAAACGTATGTTGTATAAAATTTAAAATTAACAACACTTCTTATAAAACACTTAAATAACGTATACTTAAAAATTATATTAAGGTCTCGTAAACTAAACATTGTTTAGAGCCAAAACAAACTGACAACCAAAAAAATACTTGTGTTATAAATTTTAAAACATTATCTCCTTGTTATGCATCTTTTACGCTCTATTTTCAAATATTGTTTATTAAAAAATCTTAACTTTATTTGTTTTAAAGTCATTAGTGGCGGACCTTTTCACCCTCGGCCTTTTAAACCTTGTCTAACTTATTTGAAACGTGCAGCCCATATAACACAAGTTCATAGTAAAATTAATTGATAGAATGTTTATTAGTAAACTTACCTCTGGCTGAAAATTCATTATCAGAACACTTTTCTGATATACTAGGACATTTTTTCAACTCTCTTTCCGAAACCAAGAGCTCTCTCCTGGACACTGGTATAGAGTGACCTGATGAAGCAAGTCTTATGGTTGAAGACTGACCATTGTATTGGAGAGAACCCACTCTTGATTGATTTCTTGGCGGTGGTGGTATGATCCTTCCACTGGCATGGCTCAGATTTTCGTTCCTTTCTTGTAACCTGCTGAAACTGCGATTGTAATCATCAGAAGATGGCTTTCGGTAAAATAGCCGTTCCCTAGATTGATCATGGTTACGGCGTTCTAGTTCCAATTCATCTTTTTGTGATTTGTAGACAGGATTGTGTTTACATTCTGAATGTTGTTGACGTTTATCATAGTACCTATCGTCATAATTTTCTTTGGCTGCCTCATTTGATTGTCGGTGGTGCATGTTATCATTTACATTTTTTTTTGTTGACATTTGCCGTTCAGGTTGATCATGCTGGTAGTTGTTGCGGACTTCCATAGATTTTCGGTTCGCGCGTGGCGCACGCTGATCAGGCTCCTCAATTGGATTTGGACGGTAGCTTGGTGCAGGTTTGTAATTTTCCGCTGATCTAATTCGCGAAGCTTAAAGTAGAAAAAAAATAAGCCAACATTCTAAATACAATTTATTCATAAGATGGATTTACCATTTTCCGAGTTATATGTATTCCGTCGATCTGATTGTCTAAAACAAAACAAACTAAATTATTTTTAATTTTTGCGGAGGTATAACTAAAGTGTGGACTGAACTAGGTGTTAGTGGCATTTTTTTCTGAAGGTAATCAATAAATATTTTTGAGTTTCTGTTGGAAAAGTTATAGTAATCTCAGAAAACTTAAAAAAGGCAAATTTTAACGTATCTTTACGTTTCGAAGGTTTCTGAATATTTTAGCATAGGTTACCAAGAATGGATGTTTATGTGTATGTATGTATAACTGGGCATTCGATTAGATTTATTCAAAAGACACTCGATTTGTCTGCCGATTTATCTGTCTACCTGCATACTAGACTTGCCTACTAGTCGATCTGGCTACCAGTCTTTCTGGCTACCAAATGACATGCCTATTAACTAACATTCTACCTGTCAACCTGTCTACCTGTCAACTTGTCTACCTGTCACCTGTCTATCTGTCATTTAGACCTTTGTGCGTTAACTTGGGCTGCTTTTAGTCCCATGATATTTTATTTTTGTAAATTTGAAGCTGTTTCTCGTACTCAGGACATAATTTCCAAGTCACCTTGTGGCCTGTCTCCTTGCGTTTATTTCTTACGCAGTTTACGCATTTTGCGTCTTGCTCTTTGGAGCAGTCACTCGTGGTGTGTTCACTGCTGCCACAATTGTCACAAACAGGTTTCTCGATTCTGCATACACTCGCTATGTGTCCATATGCATGGCACTTATAGCAACGAGGAATTTTTACATACTCGCTGAGCCTGTATGTACGCCAGTCCATGTAGACTCTGCCCTCGTTGAGTAGTCTACTGGCGTGCTTTTCGGGTAATTGGATTACCCAGTTGTTTTTACCAAATTTTGTTCTGAATTTGGTTACCACTTTGCACTCCTTTCTTAGAAGCTCTGCCTCTGCTTCCTCTAAGTGTACAAAGTTTTTCAGAATTAGACAGTCCAGGAAGTTTTCTTCCTGGCAGTCTTCTTCTACATCATACATAATTATTTGTGGTTGTAGCTTTTTGGGCTCTTCCACAACTAATTTTCGCGCACTCAAATTTGCTCTCTTAATTATTTCTATGTCTCGCTTAGTTTGAACCTCTAAGACAACTCCTTTGTTTCAATATTCATACATGTATATAAATCAATAATAATTTTTCGATTTTTATCCTATAACTCCGGAACTGCTAAACCTGCAATCGCAGAAACGTTATCAACTGCTCATTTTGTCAACACCAGTAAAATATATTTTGAATGTCTTTTCAATCAATCCAATCGAATGTTTAGTTCCGATAAACGTGTTCTACAAACCACTTATATTTACTAGAAATTTGTTAATTTTTTTTAAAAATTCTAAAATGTTTGAAATTTTTATGTTTTTGGTAAGTTCGAATTTTTTTAGAATTTTTGAAAAAAAAACATTTTTTTAACTTCTTGAGAATTTGGAATTTTCTGAAAATATTTTATTTTTTTTTAAATTCTCGAATTACTTTAATCGTTTTATCCGTTTTCCCAAAATCGTCGACGGAAATTAGTATCCGCGCATACACATCTATGAAAAGAAAAAGAGAGAATGGACTTCGCTCATTTAAAAGATAAGTATAACTTCAGTGCAAGAATGATAGCATTCTGGATCCTCCTGAAAGCCTCCCCCACGAAGTAATGCCCAACGGCGGTTTAAGTGTGAACTAGAGGCAAGGGCAAAATGGAGGTTTTAGTCGGTTTTAAACCCAGAATCAGTATTGAGTCCGACATACCCAGATAAAAGACCAGTCTGGGATGCATAAAGGCATTTACTTCGATATACAAAAAATACACATACATATATTTTTCTAAGGCCTGCCAAAATGTTCAGAAACCTTTGAGTCGTAAATATATATAAATATAAATTTTCATTTTCAATTTTTGATTTATTGATTATTATTATATGATGATTATTATTATAACTTACCTTACGAGAAATTAAAAATGTATCATTCAAAAGAAGCAAGCTTTTGAGTGCATCCTCATACATGGATATGTTAAATTCAGCAGTTAATCATTATGACAAAAGTAAAAAATAATTTTAAGTTGAAAAATTTTCAACGTAATGAATGAAAATAAACATATAATTTTGAAATTCAAAATTTTGAATTCTTTTACGTGAGCATAAAAAAATGTTGATTAGTAAAAATATTGACGAATACATTTTACTTTTTTACTAAAAATAAAATTCTTACCCGTCGCAGCGACCTCCTGAATGCCTTGCCGACAACGACCTGACAGCAACCAAATCTTCCTCATCTCTAGCAAGTGCTTTCGCTCTTCGATTTTCAATAAATTTTAATTTTTCATTGGTAAAAAAGTGAGGATTTCGTTCATTAAAGCTTTCGCTCAGAACATTGTCATAACGTGATGATGCATAGTGCGTCCAGATATCGTCAGAATCATCATCTTCGGAGTATTTTCTTCTTCTGGTAACGTTTTGGTTCATTTGAGAGGTTTCCTTTACTTGTTTGTATGGTCTGAAACAATGGTTAAATTAGAGGTTTTAAAACAATTGGGATTTCAAAAAGTAGAATGATTTTTGTAAAAAAATCTAGTTCAGATTCTAAGATTTATCAAAAAACTCTGCTCATTGTTAACAGTGCTCTAAATCTAAACTAATATTAACAGATCGCAGAATGAATAATTAAACAAAAACGTTTTCCAAAATGATGAAGTATTCCGCATTTCCAAAAATTTCAACTGCGAAAGAATAATTACCTTTCATAACAACTATTTCTTCCATTTTCCTGGTTCACTCTATTATGCTTCTGCCTATAACAATCTTCCTTCTTCACAGGTGGCGATTTTGGTTTATAAATCTCAGCAGCAGCTGCCAATGATGACTTTGGGCTTCTCGGACTGTCGTACGTTTTAAAATTTGGAGACTCCTTGCCACTACGGGGAACTTTCGATGGAGGACTTCTGGAATGAGACTTTCTAGAAGTGGAAAAACTGTGCGACTTTGGAGTCATTTGATTGTGGTGGTGAGGGTTATTTTGACGTTCTTCGTAAACCTGAAAAATATTATTTTTGAAAACATTATTTTTAAATATACATGTTTTCATGTATATATACTTATATGTAGGGCTCACCGTTCTTCCTTGATTCGACGGTGAAATATTCAAAATATTTTCATGCTGACGTTTGTAGTCCATAAAGTATTCAAAGTCGTCATCGTATTGTGTGCAATCTTTACACAATTTTGCAGGAGATCTGCCTTAAAATTAAGTTACATACTTAATAACATTTGAATTAGAAGTGCCGAATGGGATGATTTTAGTATTCTTTATTTTTTGTATTACTCTTAACAATTATAATATTTTAACATAAGTATAGGCCACTCAGAAAGGGACCTTTTGTAAAAGAACATACTACAGTATCAGCTTTTACATGCTTAACACTTGGATCTGATTGAAACCCATTTCTTTCCATTTGTGCTTCAAGCTTACTGCTATCATGTGTAACCCTATATCTTTCTAGATTACGGTCACGTCTGTTAGTATACATATTTTGGTAGCTAAAACTAGCGACAATTTGAAATAAGCCTTGAATATTGTTATATATTTAGAAAGATTTAAATGCGATTATCATTTAGGTAGTCAGCTTCAATACTATTTTCTCATTGATTATTTTTCTATTAAACAGTTTTAACAACCATATAAAAGGGTAACAATTTAAATTTTAAACTAGGAATAAAATAAAGGCAGTTATCTTATCTGCAGGTTGTAGATCAATGTTGCGGAGACAAGTGAGTTCATATGGTTTTCGAGGTGGCTCTTGTACCTGCCTGAATGAGTCTTTTTAGATCATCCAATTTACTTTGAAGCATTTTGAAAGTTTTAAGACATTGATCTTAATATCTGATTGTCATAGTTTAGTTTGTGATATGCCAGATTGGCTTAAACGGCTTTGTACAAGTAAATTTTGTTGTGTCAGTCAAGTTTTGATTTCGGCTCGAGGTGGCAATGATATCTTCTCATGTCTTGTCAAGCGGTCGAGTGTTTTGCTTGATGTGCTCTTATTAAGTTAGCGTCTTGACAAAATCTAAAGGAAAATATTGGATCATATCTCTTCTAACAAAAAGTATTTTGCTCTTCGGGGTATGATTTTATATTAAGTATAGATCATACGATAACACATCCTTGATCTTGTTTAGGCTTTAGATTTGTTTGAATTTGAAAATATTCCCTTGTTTATGGTAAAATTCAAGCATAATTTGACGACTAAATAATTAACATTTTACTCCTCAAATAAACGCTTTTAAAATTTACGTTTTATACAAATTTGAGAATTTAGATGAAATATTAAGCAAGAAAGTAATAACAGGAGAGTAACAAAGTTGCTAAATATTGCCCGACTCACCTTTTTATTGCTAAATTATACGATAAAAACCACGCATCATTGATAAAACAATGAACAACATTATTTTAAATAGTTACTTAATTATAATCCAATACATTTTGAATAAAAAATCTCTCTGCATAGATAGCTGTAATAAAATATCAGACTTAGGAGTTTGACTCTGTTGTCTTTTACAGATCGTATAGCTGACATTTGTAATAGAACACATAATTCTTTAGGAAAGATATTAAGAAGCTGTAAAGAATTTAATTCAAATAATGCACTACTTTGCATGTACTATGCAAATGTACGTTCCAAGTTAGAATATAGATCGATCATTTAGTATCCTCATCAGATCAACAACTCCGATGCGAAAGAGAAAGTTCAATGTAAATTTCTAAAGTATCTTTATTATAAAATACACAAAATTTTACCCTTGTTAAATGAATTCGGTATATTTCTTGACACACATCAATTTATCCGTACTATGCAATAATAAGTATAGTAATCGCAAAAAAAATCGAAAATGAAAATGTTTATTAACATTCCGTATGGCAAGTTATAGTAATCGCAAAAAAATCGATTAGTGCGGCGCATGGCATCGTGCCTTAAGGCAAATTGCTGGAACTTCACGTACCAAAAAATATTTTTTTTAAAAAGATTAACATTTGAAAAAAATTTACTTCGAACAAATTAGATTTTTGAAAAACTATAAATTTGACAAAAAATTACTTTTTTTAAAAAAAAAATTTTTGACATATTTTGGAAATTCTGAACTTGTTTTCAAAGCAATCGTACTGCTTTAACTGCATAGAGACGAAATGTCAAAGCGCGTAGCCGTCTAACGGATAAACAGAAAGTAATTCTTTGTAAAATTTATATTTTCTCAAAAATATAATTTTTTCGATGTAAAATTTTTTCAAAAATGTTATTCGTTTTTAAAAAAGAAATAATTTTTGGAACTGGAAGTTCCAGCAATTTGCCTTAAGGCACGATGCCATGCGCCCCACTAGTATATCTTTACGTTTTTGAGGTTTCTGAACATTTTGGCATACCTTATAATAAATTGATGTACGTGTGTGTTTATGTGTGTATGTGTGTATGTTTGTATGTGTGTGTGTGTGCGGATATAAATTTTCGTCGACGATTTCGGGAACACGGTTCAAACGATTTCAATTATTTAAAAAACATTTGATTGCTGTTGATAAGGAGACAAACAGTAACTCAGTTTTTAAGAGAACTCAGCGTCTGATTTTATTAATTCAAAAAATATTTTACTTGTATTGAAAAGATGAAGCTCTTTCTTAAATTTTCATGAAGGCAGGTTTAGCGGTTTCGGAGATCTAATGAAAAAAGTGAAAAAAAGACATTTGGCGATCAAAAATGATCATTAAACATATACACATCAAATTATCAGATATTTTATAGAGATTTTAATAATATGTACACATTTTGTGTAATTTTTTTAGGTTTCGTACCAAGATTTTTAATTTTAAAATTCACGTATATGGTTCAAACAAATGCCCTCGATATTTTCGACAGTATGGAATAACCAATTTGAATAATTTAAAAAACATTCGATTCGTATTGATAATGAAACGTGCTGATTAGTTTTTGGCGGAGACAGGTCTAGCCGCTCCGAAGATAAGGCGAAAAAAGTGCCAAAACTCAGTTTTTAAGAGAACGAGCGTCCGATTTTAATAATTCAAAAAACATTTTACTTGTATTGATAAGATGAAGAACTGAATAGATTTTTGGGAAGGCAGGTTCAGCGGTTATGGGCAATAAAAATAAGTTAAAAAAATATCATTTGGCGGTCAAAAATGTTTATTGGACATATGTACATCAAATTATCAGATATTTCATTTTAATTTAAATTTTTATATACGGTACGGGAAGTTCCAGCAATTTACCTTAAGGCACGATGCCATGCGCACCACTAGTTTAAACTTTGCACTAATGCTATAGACCAGGGGTCGGCAACCTGATTGCCGTTAAGAGCGCAAAACTAAATCTGAAAATTACCGAGGGCGCATCGGTATGAAAAAAAAAAATTTTTCATAACTTTATTCTCTTAGTATAGTATAATATATACATCACGAACATTCAGTACATCGATAAAAAAAGAGTATTATCTAATAATACCTAATTATATACATATAATTTAGTGTGAAACTTGTGTGAAATATTTCATATTTGAAAACAAAGACTCGCAATTGTATGTTGTTGCACAATATGAGAAAATTTTTAGCGCACATTTCCTTAAAATAGGATACTTATTTTCATCGACTCAATTCCAAAACATTTTAATATTACTATGTGCTTTTAAAATAATATCATTTTGCAAGTTTATTATTTCTAACTCCACGTCTTCGATATTACTAATTTCGAAATACACTGAAACACTTTGCAGAAGATCATCTTCGGCAACTTTATATAAAATAAAGGGTTTATAAAAAAAATCCTAGAACGGGTTCTAGTGCTGCGAAATCTTGAAATCTTGAACAAAACTCTTCTGCCAATTTGTCTATAACTTCTAAATATGATGTAGTAGTAAAATTTTCTATATTTATTTTTAGACTTTCAACAATATGCCTTATATTTGGAAAATGTGAAATTGATTTGCGCTAAGGTTATCATACATTTACATTAACCGAGGGCGCATCTAAAGTTGATCGGGGGCGCTATGGCGCCCGCGGGCGCCGCGTTGCCGACCTCTGCTATAGACTATCCTCTAATTCTTGACCAACTATCATTTAATGTTCTTATGCTATTTTCGCGTTTACAATTATTTTTCAATTATCCTACTCGTAAATCTATTTATCTCTTAAATTCGCCTATTCTACTTGTGTCCTCTAACTTTAACTAAATTAATAATGACATCGATATACATAAGACTTCACTTCATCAATTAATCTCTAATAGCTCAAGTTTACCATTTTATTTCTTTTCCATTATTTTTTTTTTATTTTTCTTATTCTATGTAATTATATAATATTGTTACATTCTGTATTATATAATTTTGTTTTATGAAGTGCATTATATATTAGACTATATATTGTAATTTATCCATATCATATGTTTAATAATTGTATTTTTAAGTCCTTTCAGAACTATGCCGTGAGCTATATGTTTAACAAAATTTAAAAATGTTATAAAACTTCACTTAAAAAATTAAATTTTATAATGCAAAAAAATTACCTCTGGTTTCATTGTCGTTTCTCGGACTTTGGGCATAGACTGCTCCTTCACTCACTTTCCTATTATGATAACTTGCTATTGAACTTGCAATACGGGAAAATTCTTCACTATAATCCTACAAAAAAACTGAGTAGACTTCATAAAATTCACCAACAAATTATTTGTTACATCTCTTTTTATTGACCTTTCCAACTCTATCCATACGCTTCTCCCTCTCCCTAGTGTTTCCTGATTTCCTGCCATCATCAGATCGATTTTTCTGCACCTCTTTCTTTAAGTTCTGATGCCGGAGTTGCGCATATCTTGCCAACTCTTCATCATCTTCTAACTGTTTGTCCCTCCTTTGCTCACTCGGATTTTCTACTCGGGTATGATTGATATTTCTACCAGAGCCCCCACATTGTCTGTTATTTCTTGCAGTGATAACGGATTCTTTGCTTGAACGTCCACCGGCGGAAGTTCTAGAGAACCATCTAAAGAAAGCAAAATATTTTGATGAAAAGTGGGTAGATTTAGAGAGTTATACAAAACTTTCACCTTGCGTTTGAAACGCAACCGTCTTCGTTATCGGAGAAATCAGTAACGCTGCCAACTGATATTGCTGGTGTATTGGTTCTCCTGTAATATTAAATTTATCATTACATGCATAATAAAAAAACATGTTATAAGCGATAACTTCCATTTCATTAGAAAATTTATTCTGACACCTCAAATCTTTATAGGATTATTACAGCAAAAATGTGATGAGATGTGTCCGATAAAACTGTTAAAAGATCAAGGTAAAAACTCTAAGCAACAATGCAGTCTTCACAAAAAAATATGATGACAGACGAGCAAACAAATTAAGATTAACTGATACGGACTTTGAAAAAAGAAACTCTAGCAAAGAGAAAACGTTAACTTGACTCGATAAAGACAAATTGACCAATTAACTTGACCAATTTTGCTGACGAACAAAAGCGATTTAAAATTATGAAATAAAACTCTTAGCCAGCTCAATTTACGCAATCAAGGTTACTATAATTCATAATAAGCTGTAACTTGTCAAAATTATTTAAAATACATCTATAAAAGAAATCTCAAAAATCCTCATCGATCCGATGCGAGCTAAAAAAATGACACGAGGTAAAAGGTAAAAAAAATTACCCTTTTGCAATGTTTAGCTAAACGATCAGTCTTATTGCGAAATTACTTGAGACAATATTGTAGTGCATATAATTATCTACAAAATTTTATTTGCTCAAAGCTATCGTTTTAAAGGATACTTTGAAAAGCACATTTAAGCGCCACCTACGAGGTAGTATGCTTAGCTCGTTTCTTTCACGTGTTTTTTTCAATAGGCCTCTTTCACGGGTCTGTTGTGATTTTGTTTGTTTTGGAACACTTGCAGAATTGAATTTGGGTTGGTAAAAATAACAGCGGTTATTATAAAAAAGCAACTAAATTTATTAATGGAAGTCATAATTTTTAAATATTTCTACGTCCTTTTCGTATTGTTTTTCTTGATCTACAAATCATGTTTTATGCAAATCAGACGAACTTAATTACATGAAGTTCTTACTTAATTACATGACCGTTACAAGTCGTTCGATATACTGTTCGAGTATATCGAACGACTTGTAACGGATAACACATCATGCTAATTTAAGTTTCCATATTTTAAATTTTAAATTATGACACACTGATGATGAAACAAACCTAGTCTCGAAACCTTTGTGAAAATTATTATTTAATAAATTAGTGCAAAAAAGAGTGTTGTTTGTTCATATTTCCAAATTAATATCTATTTATCCACACAGAATATATATATATATATATATATATGTTGAAAATGTTTAAATTTGATGTTGAAATGTATGATTGATTTCTTGGAGGGCGTAACATCAAGTAAAAAAAAAAGAGTGAAGTAAAGATTTTTTTCAAAACATCTTTATTTTTCCATACGTTTCGACGTAAAATTCTACGTCATCTTCAGTGGTTCTACAATTTAAAAAACAAAAAGTAACGTTACAATTTGAATATACATAAGCAATAGTAAAAAGAAAAGTTTTAACTAAAGAGAATTGCAAAAAACATTACTTACTTGAATTATTTATATTATCACTAACACATATTAATATAACTTGTAAAAATTAATAATTATAGACAAGCACTAACTGTCAGTAATTTCTTTTTTTTTAAAAAAAGAATAAAAGATAAAAAGTGATTACTAAATAAAATATTATACGTAATACACTTTCATCCGAGGCCAGTGCCAAACAGAATAATATGTTTGTAAGTGTTCGAGATGTGAAGTAAAAATTTTAGAAAAAACACAAACACATGTGCTGGTTTTTGACCGAACGTCTTGGCGCGCTAAGCAAGTGTGCGTGATAGTGTTGTGCAACCGTGGTGTTAGGTATTCGATATGAATTGGGAAACATTATTTAGAACAAATTGGTAATTTTCGCAAATGAAGCTAGTGTCTGTGCGTTTATTTAAACAATTATTTCTATTCAAGAAAATATAGGCCGATTCTGAAAAGCGCCTTTGTGAGACTTTCGATTCGTGATGAAGAACCTTTGCGTCATAAAAATTGAAAGTATGGTTATTTAGTTTTAAATGTTCTGTGATCATTGTTTGCCCTTGATTTTTGTTTTTTGAATTATTATCGTGTTATTTCAAACGTTTGATAAGGTTCTGTCCTGTTTCGCCAATATAGGTGGAATCACAGTCATTGCAAGATATTTTATAGACCACATTGGATACTCGTTCTAAACTAGTGCGCGGTTTTAAATTTGAGAAGAGGGAGTTGAGAGTTAAATCGATGTTGCATACTAAACGGAGATTTGCGTTATAAAAAAGTTTTTTCCACATCGGATAAAGTTCTTTGATGTAAGGAAGGCAAATGGTACCTTCAAAATTATTGTCTTTTGTGGAAATTAAACTTAGGTTGGGGTTAGTTATTTTATTTTTTAAAAATCCTGGAAAGTTTTTTTGAGTTCGAATCGATATTATTCTGTTTGGCACTGGCCTCGGATGAAAGTGTATTACGTATAATATTTTATTTAGTAATCACTTTTTATCTTTTATTCTTTTTATTAAAAAAAAGAAATTACTGACAGTTAGTGCTTGTCTATAATTAATAATTTTTACAAGTTATATTAATATGTGTTAGTGATAATATAAATAATTCAAGTAAGTAATGTTTTTTGCAATTCTCTTTAGTTAAAACTTTTCTTTTTACTATTGCTTATGTATATTCAAATTGTAACGTTACTTTTTGTTTTTTAAATTGTAGAACCACTGAAGATGACGTAGAATTTTACGTCGAAACGTATGGAAAAATAAAGATGTTTTGAAAAAAATCTTTACTTCACTCTCTTTTTTTTACTTGATGTTACGCCCTCCAAGAAATCAATCATATATATATATATATATATATATATATAAATGTATATATATATATATATATATATATATATATATATATTATATATATATATGATAAAAAATTGTTTCTTGGGCATCCATCCAATAATTAAAAAAACAGTTTTAATGCGAAATGTTTTACTTAAGAGAACATACGTTTCGGGTCCAGATCTGACCCATCTTCAGTGCATACAAATAAATTTTAGAAAAATATAACACAAAGAACAACACAAAAATGCAACGAAAAAATAAGTATGAAATAAAAAATTGAAAAAACATCAAGTTATGAAAATTTTTGAAAATTGTAAAAACTAAAATAAATAATATGTTTTAATGTAAAAAAGCTTATTACAAAAACACATCTTGTTAGTTTGGAGACAGAGTTACGTATGTGAGAGTTCACATACGTAACTCTGTCTCCAAACTAACAAGATGTGTTTTTGTAATAAGCTTTTTTACAATAAAACATATTATTATTTTAGTTTTTACAATTTTCAAAATTTTCATAACTTGATGTTTTTTCAATTTTTTATTTCATACTTATTTTTTCGTTGCTTTTTGTGTTGTTCTTTGTGTTATATTTTTTAAAATTTATTTGTATGCACTGAAGATGGGTCAAATCTGGACCCGAAAACGTATGTTCTCTTAATTAAAACATTTCGCATTAAAACTGTTTTTTTAATTATTGGATGGATGCCCAAGAAACAATTTTTTATCATATTATTTCACCATCTGAAGAAAAACCTCTCGCTTTATATATATATATATATATATATATATATATATATATATATATATATACGAGTATATATATATATACGAGGGGCATGTAAAAAATAAGGTTCCCAACGCTGTATACTCGCCGCGCGAGATACTAGGGGAAATCCGAAAAACACCATTTTCATTGTTGATCCTTGCCACTCTATTCCAACTACCTGGAAGATCTTTGCAAAGCTTAGTGCGCAATCGCCGTCACCGCCAGGTATAAAATCCGTTCAGTCATTCAATTTTTAAATGCGAAGAAGCTTACACCTATTGAAATTCATAGACAGTTGGAAGAAGTTTATGGCAAAACTTGCATCAGCGTCCATCACGTCCTCAAACGGTACAGGGAGTTCTCCGAAGGACGCACAGACGTTCACGACGAGCAAAGGAGCGGGAGGCCATCGAGTTTTGGGACCGAAAATGTGTCTTGCTTACAAAGTTAATGCTTAAAGGGTCCACTATAAATTCGGACAAGTACTTCGAGACACTAACAAAACTCAGAACAGCCATCCAAAATCGCCGGAGAAGAAGACCGACCAAGGGCGTGGCGGCGGAGTTCTTCGAAGCGGGTTTTCAGAAGTGGAAAATTCCTCAGAAAAAATACATTGAAAGATCTGGCGACTATGTAGAAAAATAGTTTGAAATACAAGCTTTTTGTTGGTATACATATTTATTGCAATAAAAAATGCCTCAACCTGAAAAAAATGTAGGAACCTTATTTTTTACATGACCCTCGTATATATATAATTATATATATATATATATATATATATATATATTTTTGAATAGTCTTGAATTTGATGTTGATATATATGTATATATATCTACATATATATATATGTATATATATATGTATATATTTTTATTGATGTTACGCCCGATTATTAAACTCAAATTAAACATATATATATATATATATATATATATATATATATATATATATATATATATATATTCAATAGATAAGTCCTGGATTTTTTCAATATATTGATTGTTTCTTTTCCGAACAGTAAATCCAATAATAAAAACCAATTTGTTTTTTGAAAATGTTTAATAACGACGTTTCGGAGCTAGATACGTTCCATCTTCAGGTTTATCTGCAAAGACAATGTTTTTTTAAAAACTATTGAATAACATTAATTAATGGTTATTGCAGATTATTTAGAAATATAAAGGAATGGATTATGTACCAGCGTAAAGAATAGAGAAAAGTAACTAAAAAAGGTTTTTATATAAATTTGAGAAGCAAAAATTATTTACCTGTAATAATTTATATATCCATATCACCAATATTCACTCTTTATAATACTCTATCATTATAACACTCATTAATTAATTTTAGTCAATAGTTTTTAAAAAATATTGTCTTTGACAGAATAAACCTGATGATGGAATGTATCTAGTTCCGAAACGTCGTTATTAAACATCTTCAACAAATTGAATTTGAAGACCTTCAACCAGTTTACAAATAACACACTATCCATTTGTGATTCTTTAAAATTAGTATTTTGTGAAAATATTGTGTAATTTCAAGTTAATGTTTATAATACATAGAGTAGTGCATTAGCATATCCTAATACCATGGATTATTAAAATTTTCCAATTTAACACTAAGATCAACTAATTGTAAGTACTATTTACTATTTTATTTTTTCTTTTCATTCCAATTCAATTGTTTTAGTTTTTAATTTTATTTTTAGTTTAGTTTAGTTTAGAATGAAGGCTAGGATTATAGCCGAAACGTATGGATTTAAAATAAATTTTTGAAAGAAATTCATGTTTTTATTGATGTTATGCCCGATATTAGACTTTGTAATATATATATATATATATTATATTTATATAATTTTGAATATTCTTGAATTTGATGTTGATATATATGTTTAATTTGAGTTTAATATTCGGGCGTAACATCAATAAAAATAGTATGAGTTTTTTTAAAAATTTTATTTATTTAAAATCCATACGTTTCGGCTAGCATCTTAGCCATCATTCAGTGGTAATCAAGTTAACTATAAAAATTGGAACTAAATAAATTATATGAAAGGAAATTTCATGGAAAAACAATAATAATAATAATAGTAATAAAACACTTACAATTTGTATCCTAATATAGCATATGAAACCATTATTAATCCATGGTATGAGTATGTGCACATTGATAAGATATGTATTTTTTAACACAAACATCACAAATGGTAAAACACACTAATAATCATGATAACTTGACAAGTTGTCGAAACTATGTATTTACTCTTCGGAGTTTAGGATAGAAATGTCACAACTTTCTCAAAGTAGTTTTTAGCATGTGTTGATATTTTTGGAAAATTTAAAAGGCGATGGGATTTTGTTATTTTTTAAGGAATTTTGACACGCTATTAAGAAACCACGTGTTCGTTTCGATAAGGGCCGTATTGTCATTGCGTTTATTTATGACTCTGTCGTTATGTAATTGTAAAAACAACCCCTCAGCGAATCTTCTTTTAATTGTATTCTCTTCAAAATGTAAAATTTTAGGGTTAAAAAAATCGATATTGTGATTTAAATTTTTAATATGCTCAGTTAACATTGTTTTAAATTGTTTGGGATTTTTGAATTATTTTGTGTTGATTAAGGCGTTTACTCAGGTTTTGGCTAGTTTCTCCAATATAAAAGAGTTCGCAATTAGAGCAATTAATTTGATATACTAAATTCCTGAGCCGGTCAAATTGAACTTAGATTTCATTTGTGTAAAAATTGAACTAAGGGTTGCATCACAATACACACCAACAGAATGCCACACTGTTGAAATAATTTTTTCCACGAGAAATATAAATCTTTTACGTACGGTAGGCAAATGACACCAGTATATGATTCTAAGTCTAAACGGTTTTTATGGTCTGTGAGGTCTTTTTGTTTGTTAAGAATGTAACTGCGTCTGTTATTTATGACAGAGTTGATTATGTTCGTAGGATATGAGTTGTTTTTCAGTGTGTTTATAACCAGGTCAATGTTCGTGTCCCAGAAGTTTTTGTCAGATAGTAATATGGCGTGGTCTGTTAAATTTATTATTGTCGCTATTTTCATTTTAAGAGGGTGGTATGAGTGGTAATTTATGTATCGTCCGGAGCTAGTTGGTTTCTGGTACCAGTTAGTAATTAGTCGGTGGTCATTTGTACGTATTAGTCTGATGTCTAGAAAACTAATCGAATTCACTGTCTCTAATTCTACGGTAAACTGTAGTTTTTTATTAAAATGTTAAAATTATCAGTAAATATTTAATGTCTTCTTCCGGAATACAAGTAATGATATCGTCTACATATCGGTAATAAAAGATTTGTTTGTTATAATTATTAAAAATTTTGTTTTCTACTAATTGTAAGGAAATTTCTACTAAAGACGGAGATGCGGGAGATCCCATTGGGGTGCCAAAAATTTGGTAATAAAATGATCCATTAAATTCAAAATAGGTGTTAGAGACAATGAATTTGATGATTTCTCTAAACCAATGTAAAGATAATGTGGTGTGAAGGCTAATTTCACTCCATCTGCTGGTGATGGCGTCTAGTATTAAGTCTAGTGGGACATTTGTAAATAGGGATATAACGTCTAGGCTAATTAGTTTATAATTATTGGGAATGGAAATATTATTAAGAAGTTTGACAAGCTCGAAGGAATTTTTAATGTAATATGGGGACTGTTTTGTTATTATGTTAAGATATTACTAATGTACTTGGATAATTTGTATAGTGGAGAATTTATGTCTGAAACAATCGGTCTATAAGGTAGGTTTGTTTTGTGTATTTTAGGAAGGCCGTATAATCTTGGAAAGTATGGTGAAATTTTTTAAGTTGTAGCTGTATCTTTTGTGATTTGTTTATTAGTAACTAATTTGTCTAGAAGTATGACAGGAGCGGTTAATGTGTTCGGTTGGGTCGTTTG